CAGCAGGAGCTGGGCTGTGTTTTAAATGAATGCTGTCCCACAGTCATCCCCAAACCTCTTTGTTCCCTTAGCCAGGAGGCAATCAGTTCCTGAGCAGGTCGGTGAGCCTGGCTGTTGAAGACAGCCGTCACTCCTTAGATGACAGCGGTTTCTCGGTGGCAGCATGAAGCAATACCAATAATCTGTTCTGTGCACCTGCTGGAAAAAACAGGCTCAAAAGGGTTGTGAAAAGGTGCAGCCTGCAGCGAGCACAGCTGGGACAGCTGGCTAAGGCAGCAGCGTGGGAGTGAGCACTGGCATCTTGGAGCGGTGTTCCCCACACCCCAGCTTGTCTGGCTACCAAGGTCCACCTCAGCCAGTGGCAGAAAAAAAGTCAACGATAGGATTGTGCTAATTCATATTCCCCAGCAAGGGGGTCCCCAAGCCCATCCCAGAAGCCAGGAGGTGACTGAGCCTGTAATGCGGCTCCTTGCCCAGCTGCTGGGCAGCGGGGATGACTCAGGACCTGCCCCTAAAATGTTTTCTGAGAAGATCCTGCAACACCAGGTAGCATTCTCCTCCATCAGTTTGGTGGGTTTTTATCTTGTGTATAGAGCATCCAGGGTTTAGCAGAGGGCAAACAGAAGGTTAGGAGACTCAGAGGGGATTAGGGATGAAATTAAAGCAAAAGCAAGGGCTGCTTTTAGTGTGCAAGGTGGTACCACACAGGAGGATGCAGAGGCTGGGGAGAGAGAAGCCCTGATGGCTGCTTAACACCTTCCTCTGGTTTCCACTGCACTGAACAGCAGGATGTCCTCAGCACTTGCAATAAGAGAAGCCGCTCCACCTGAATTAAAATTGTTTTTGGCTCACTACTGGACCAAATCTTCAGCTGCTTCCAACTGCTCACTTCACCTTCAACTTCTACCAACCTCTAGCCAGCTGGAGCTTCCCAAGCTGCCTTGGTGGGGCTAGTGGTGTTAATCATGCTGTCTGCTCTCTGGTGTTTGCAGAAGACGGCAAACATCAGGAGCTTTGCAGCCTTGAGGAGGTCAATGGGATGCTGATCCTCCAGGGCTTTTGGCACTGCAAAAATTTTCAGCATGCTAGCATGAACTCAGCTGTCCTGCCAGGTGAAGGACAAGCCACTCACACGCACCACGTCTTCAGCAAGACGTCTTCCAAAGCAACACCCCAGTTGCCCAAGGTTGTGGGTGAGCTCTCCATCAGTCAGCCAGAGAAACGCAGATTTGTCCCAGCCAGTGGCCTGTCCCCAGTGCAGTGGTGGCTCACAGGAAGCAGGACTGTGTGTTCCCTCAGCACTTCTTTGGCATGGGAGAGTTGCTGCAAATCCGCTGGCGAGGAAAAGGCCATTTTGCTCACAGCAAAACAGAATCCTGGGACAGGTCCTGAGCTGCCACCCACTGTCACAGCACCAGAGGTCCTTGGGCATTTGGTCTCTTAGGAATTACTACTGCAAGAGGAGCAAAGTCCTTGGGAAGGCAGGATTCAGAGGGTTTTTTTCCAGGTTATTTTCTTTAAAGCCTTTTTCATCTCTGAGGACTCAAGGGGCCCAATTCTGTAGTCCTGTTGTCAGCATTACATGGCCAAACTGAGACATGAGGTGGTGGGAGAGCACTGAAACACACAGTGTTTGCAGGGGCCAGGCATCAGGAGGTGCGTACAGGAGAACAGCATCCAGTCCCACAGCTGCCTTGGGGGAATCAGTGTTATTTTCCTATTCATTTACTGCCTCAATGACAAGGCAAACATGGGGAAAAAAGAGCCAGAGAGGGCTGAATCTCTTCCTTTGATTTTGTCCTTTCACAGATCAAAATCCTTTCATGCAACTCCCAAGCTGGGAAAGCAAATGTGTTGGACTGAAACACGGTGTGAGAGTGAACTCCATCAAGAGGAAGGGGGGGGCGGAAAACAGAGTAGAAATCTTTTGGGTGCAGGCAAACAGGTGGGGGGAGCGTCTGGTCTGCGAAAGCAGGGTGTCTGCAATCTTTGTAGCGATTAGATTTAATGGGACAGAAACGTTTCTCTCCTTCACGTCCCCTCCTCCTCTCAGCCTGAGGGGGAGAAAGGAGGGAGGTGGTGATGGGGAGGTGGCGGGGGGAGAGAAGATTTGAAAGCATCTTTGACGTCAGCCCTGCCCTATAAAAAGCTGGCAAGGAGCTGGAAAGCGGAGATCAGAGCTCGTAGAAGAGCAAAGATGCCAACCCCGAACATCTCCACCTCTGCAGCCAAAGGCTTCCGCAGGGCGGTGTCGGAGCTGGACTCCAAGCAAGCTGAGGCCATCATGGTAAGACAACCCTACCCCACTTCTTTCCCTCCCCCTCCAAAAACCACAGCCTCTCCCACAGCTATAGGCAGAGGCAGGTAGGGATAGATGGACCAACACTGCCTTTGTGGGAGTTCCCGCACGTGGGCACCTCTGGGCTCCAGGCTGGCAAAGGGAAATTACCCGAACAGTTCTCTCTACATACTGGTACATGTGAAATGCAAACATTTAGGGGGATGAAAGCTCGAACTAATGCGACACCCCCACCAACCAAAACCAAGGTAAATAACCCATAGACCTAAGGCAGGGATAACAAGGAATCGCCAGCATGAAAGGCAACTAGAAAATCTTAATGCTCTTCTGATTTCAAGGCAATAAACTGCAGAGATTTCACTTTTCCAGCATAATGAAAAAGTGTGACTGTTATTTCAGACAACTTACGAGGCACAGACAATTTAATCAGTTTGTTCACTGCTGCTGTGTCCACAGTTTTGCTTTCTCCCAGCACATCCTTCCCCCGTTTCTGTTCCCAGAGCTCCCTTGATGTGGTCTCAGCCCTGGGTTTAGCCCAGGGAATACTTCTGCACACACCAGATCTGATGTGTC